CTTGCTGTAGTTTAACTAATATTAAAACAATTTTAATATTTGTACCACAATAAGATCTCGAAAATACCTTGCAGGAAAAACACGATTTTTTCCTAGGGCAAACACCAATAACGAACTAGAGCGTGCTGATAACGTGTTGTAAATTGGAGTCATCAATATTCACCAAGCATCCATCAATCAACCAAAATATGTAAAATATACTGTAAAGAGAACAAGAGAAGAGAAGCAGAAAAGTGTGTATATTATTCATCGGTATTCACTCTTTTATAGAGTTTACAAAGGGAGAAACCCTAAAACCTAATCCTCCTAACTAATGGACTTCAGGCCCAATTATGTATATTAGTAATGTCCATATTAATATATTTATAACAAAGTGCACATATTATTAGCAAGGTTACTGCCCATGCTTGAGTTGTCATTTTGTGAGACTTGAGGGGCAGAATTGAAAACTAAGGAAGTTTTGGTCAGAGGTGATTTCATTAAGGTTAGTGATTTTTATACTTGAAAATTAATTACTGTTTTCATGCATGCTCTTGGTAATAATTTCGGGCAAGAAAGTAAATTTAATTCACGGTTTTCTTCAAAAAAAAAGTAAATTACTTTATTGGTTATACATGTATGTATAACCAAAATTTAGAAAAATGCTAAGGTCCCGCTACGGGACGGTAACGTTAGCGTTTTCCACCATTAAATAAAAAAAGTAGTTATGTTGTGTAGATACTTTATGGTAATAAACTTTGACGAAACTATTCCGTCAACGGGACTTTAGTTGTTCCCCCAAAATCATATATTAGATAGAACAAATTTAGTAATGTTGTAAAATGTCATATATTAGAAAATGTTACTTGTTACTCGTTAGACCTCAAATAAACCAAAAATAGGCCTGATACGATTAATCAGAATAGTCGTGATTAGGGCCGGCCCAACGAGATTCACAAAAACTATCCTTGAATTTCGAACCAAGCTAAAAAGAAAACAAAATGGGAATATTTTCAATTTTTCTATTAAAATCTTATCCGAATTCCCCCAAAAAATTATTTTTTTTATTATTTTTTAGAAATCATACCAAACAAATAAAATTTCTAAAATTCAATTAGTGCAATGATTAAATTGCTGATTATCGTTTTTACTAACATTTTTACCATAGATATATTAAGTACTATTTTCATAGGTTATGATATTAAGAAAGAAAAAATGTTAATCTCTACTTAATTATAGGCCCCTATATATATATTATTTATATTGGTATCTATATATGAAGGTTATTTATAAAAGAAGCTAGGCGGCAAGTTGGGGTTCATTTTCGAGTTAAGTGGCCGTTATTAAAAGCAAAATG